ATCACACAATTTCTCTTATGTCGAATAATTATGCATCTATTGTTTACATGTTTTATTTCCCCCTCAGTACTAACACACTAACACTACAACTGGTTGGTTGATGTTACTCACATATAGATTATCTATAAAGAAACCACGAATGTCGAATGTCGCAAGATTATCGTGACATAATATCCGGCAGATACGAATTTAAATTCCTCAATTTTGTACCGAGTACAATTACATCGTTACACGGTACTAAAAATTATGTTTAAGCACGAAAGTGTTTAATGAAAGGGTATCGTGTTATCGCGGCCGTTACACGCAAAAAGTTACACCAATCGTTTCTTTATGATACCGGTTAATTAACTCGTTACCAGGTAGTCATCTCGAGATACCACGCGAGATGGAAACTACTTCAGTATCCTAAAATTTATATTACGCACATGGTACATAAATGTTACTTTCGCTAACGAGAAATCCGACGTCTTGGCAGAACTTCTTGTGAAACATACGACGCGAAACTATCTTCTACTGGAAATAATTATGGAATGAAATACGAGTGGTATAGCGCACTATGAATTAGAAAATAATCTCTCGAATGTGAACCAGCTACGATTTTTTGCATCGACTGATCGCTAGCATGAAAATAGTGACAGATAATAAATTACTATTTATATTTAAAATCTCATTGATGGTGATTTATAATTAATATAAATATGTACATGCGTAATTCAAATATGAATTAATTATATACATTATTAATGAAAAATAATTCTGTGTGTTCCATAAAAGCAACATTATTAGATTCGGTAATAATAATTAATTCATGTACCCGTATAAAAAAATTATTTGTGATATTACCACAATTAAAATAAACTGAATCTATTTGTATCGTCTCACATTATCTTCGATACGTATTAGCAAGGATTCAGATGGAGTCGCACGATGTTCTCTCTAGTTCTCTTCTCAATTACTGTTGTTAACCGTCGTATTGAAACTATAAAATGTTCAATAAAATGAAATAATCGAGAGTCAAGCATCCAATCGAATAAACTAATTTTAATCGGCATCTATTGTTCTCGTGTATTTCTCGTGTCAGAAAGGACAGATATCTTGTAATTAGCCAGCGCGCAGCGTTTCCGTTTGGAATCGCGTTTCAATTTTGCATTCGCTTGTAACGCCACCGTGAAAAATGACCGCTGTATGCAGATTCCGGCGTGTACCTCTTGCGCTTCGCAACCGAAAAATATGGGAGAAAGACTTCTTACAATTACGGTCCTCGTACTCGCGCGACGCAAAGGTAAACGCATTTTTCCATGCGCGGCAGAAAGGAATTAATTTGCAAGATAATGAGCGCGCCGATGTAGCTAGCACGCGTTCCGTGTAAGCCGAGGGTGCATTATCGATTCGAAAAGCGAACAACACGCACGAAAACGCGTTTCTATGAATCATCTCATCCGTATTCAGCAACGCTTCTTCGTGATTCGACCCTGAAGGTGCCACCTACGACCGTGTACCAAACGGGGGATCGGTGGCGATTGCATCGAAATTGCGTTTTATTTGTTCGCCATCCTACTGGAGAGTGCAGAGAACGCTATGCGGGGGGGGGGGGGGGGGGACAGGTGCCAGGGATTCTTTTTCTATTTTCTGACAGTCGACATCCTTGATAGATATCGATCGAAGCTCCTCAGAGGAGCACAGGTTTCTCCGTGTAACACGTCCAATATTTTAAATTCTGTAGATGATCGCTCGTGGGATTCAGATGGAATTTAAAGTGAAAATAGGGGCTGGTGTGGGGATGTTTGTCGTGTTTTTTACTATCGTTTCGACTTGCCAATTGAGAATTCTTCGGTAAATGGACACGTCACACTTATAATTAGTGGCTGGCTACAGAAATGAATGAAAACAGTTAAACACCACTATTAGGCAGGTACGAAGAGAAATTCTTTTATAACGAGTAACATTCGAGTAAATAAAACAAATGGCTGAGGGTTGGATAGGGGTCGAACTCAAATAAATCTTATTTACTGTGTCAAGAGATTAAAATCATGTGAGAAGATGTAGTCGATAGTTTAACAAGTCCAAAGGAATATTATTTCCGAATTACTTTTTTTTCCAAATCAGTGACACGAATATCGCGTCTAGCGAGCGCTGAGCAAGAATTAGATTTTATCGTTCAAAGTTATCAGTTCAATAACGGAGTAGTGATTGATCGCGATTATAAAATATCGTTTTATCGCGAATTTTATGTCCATCGACGACGTGTATACGACTTTTGAATACATGCATAGTAATTCTCTCGCAACGTTCGATTGTTATTATCCGAAAGTAACCGGGACACGAAATATATTCGAGTGAAATCACAAAAATGATGAAGGAATTGTTCACCGAACCTTTTCCATCCATCTTATTTAAAAGATTAAATTGAGAGCGTCATCATGAAGGTACGAAATCATTTTCATTCATCATTTTACAAGAGTGTGTATGAACATGGAATTTTTTGATGATAGCCTACGAAGAAAACTAATATAAGAGAAGCATAAAAAGCATAGATGGCGAGGTCGTTTAACTTACTTTTCCATTCGTGAAAACGATTTCTCTTGGTGTTCCACTGGAATCATTGAATCATCCCACGGACTCGGATATATACACACTGTACACTTCGTAGCTATTTCTCAACGTGATGGTTGCACATGCATCCTTTATTTTCCCAGGTACATGCACCGACATATCCACCTACTGTGGATCAAGGACGACGCATTGCACGTTCACCTGCATGCTTATCCGCGATTTTAAAACCACGGCCAAGATTTCGCACGTCGGTGTAACGAACTTTTATCGATTGGTCGGCAGCCTCGACGCTTTCACGTGATGAAATCCTGCTCTACCCTAACGAGAAGGTTAATACCTGCTGCCAATAAATCCTGTTTTGCTATTTAAAACAAATATCAGGCAATTGTAGAAAACGAAGTTACAATGTACATGTATTTTTGTTCATAATGTCTTGTTACTTTCAAGGGTTTTCAACGAATATTAGCTGATTGCAATTAACCTAAGATACAGTCTCGTTAATCTTTCCTTATTGTACTAATTTTTCCATTTTATAGTTACTCTATAGTTAGGGGAAAAATATGAGCGGCAGCAAAATTAAATAGTATGTATATTTTTAAACGTTTTGAAATAAATAAAGTTTACATTATTATCACTAGATTCTGATCTGTATGTTAACTTTTTACGAATAAATATATACGTTCTTCGTAGTCTGTGCCTTAATCACCAAAGAATACTGAGAATCGTAAAATTAAATAATTAATATATGTACCACCAGAAATGAGAAAAGAATATAAAAGTCACGGTGAATTTGAACAGTTTGTTTGCTTTGAGATATGACCAAATAAGGAAGTCTGTATAACGTGTCAATTGGATTATTTAAAAATTGTTAAATAAACAAACTGGAATGTAGAGTCGGTTAGACTGAGGTAGCGATACGGTACAATTAATTGACAATATTTTATGTGAAGGGGAGATATTGTCGACACGAGACGAAAGAAAAATCAGTCCGAAAAGGCGAGCTGTCTTGCAGGAAGTATCGAGGCCCCTTAACGGGATCCTCCCATTGGCCATCCACCATAAATTATACATTATATCGTGTAAGAGCCGGCCCACGTGGCGGCGAATCGTAGAGTGCAATGATGCGTTCTTTTTTGTTTGTTTGTTTTTTTTTTTTTGACCCCCATAATAATTTATGATTCGCCGTCGTACAGTCGAATATCGGTACCCAGTCAGGAAAGCGTTTAATTATAATAAGTGATTATTATTACAATTTATATCGTGATATTTCAACCATCCACGTATGTTTACACACGTTTTGATCCCATTTTTCAATGTGATACACGTTTCTTTTGAAGTCGAGCAAATTTAATATAAATATCAAGGCAGCGTGACGATTATTTCAATATTGTCATATAATTCATGTCTAGTAAGACAGTTGAACGTAAAGCATAAAATTAAAATAAGGTAATCGTATGAAATTTAGAAAAAGATTGACTTCCTACAGCTTTATGCATACGAATACCATCTTTCTTTGATATATTAAATTCTTTGTCTTTAAGACATTTAAGAACACATTCTTTAACATACAACCGAAACAAGCCGAAATCGAAACTTTAAAACCCCTGAAAGAAACCTAGAACGTCCTGAAACTCGATAGAAATTTAATTTATACATCTTCTCGAGAAACCTATCAGTTTATTAAGCTCTACTTTGATTTATTAGACGTCGCAATGAACATAATGTTTAATTTATGATTGAATCGCTAGAGTATATTGGTTTAGTCTCGTAATAATTGATGGTCCTGGGTGTCTAGGCGAAAACGTGTATGGAAGACATAGAGATAATAGAAGGCGGGAGTCACTAATGATGAAAGATAATATCTAACAAAACCAATAGACGGCACCCGCTTTATGATCGTGAAATTACCTTTCTTTCTCTTCGAAAAAGCTGCAGTTAATATTTATGGCACTAATTATGATGATAAACCGAGGTGCTCCGTTGAAAACTTCATTGAACTACAATCTCAATTTATTATCATTCCTTCGTACATCGTCGGAAAGATGTTCATTATAAATTCTTGGACAATTAAACGTATCACTGTTATAACTTTTTGCACAAGCAATCAGTATTGTTTTTAACTGGATTTATTCTATACCATCATTGATTAATAGGATATACACGTTATATCTTCCTTTTTCTTTAATATCTATTGCAACCTATAAACATTTATATTAAGGTGCAGTATAATGTTCCTTTTGTTCGCAGAACATAACTCGAAATTACAGAATATAAAAATTCATATTTTCTGATTACCAGGAAACTGAAAATGAACTGAAAAACTCTTAAAAATTACGTTACATTAAAATAAAAAAGTATTGTAATTTAATACTGATGATCTATTTAAATATAACAATTTCTTATTCTTTATGTTAGCTAACTTTAGTCGCGTTGTAACGAACGCATGTATTTAAACATATATAAATACAGTTTTATATAAATGTGTACAAATACAGCAGCTTGATTACTTTTTACAATTAGCGTGTGTCCCACATCAGTTCCTTATTACGAAAATACGAATGTCGCATAATATCCTAAATGAACAAAAAATGATCTAGGAAGATATCTGTAACGAATTCTTCCATTCGAAGCCCCGTCGACACGTCAGCCTTCGACTTAATTAGGCGATCTACAATGGTAAACTTATTCACGTTGTACCAGTATGAAAGTAAGCAGGGCGTATTGTCAAAACGCGAATAGGTTGTTTCTCGTCGTATAATAATAAAACCGTACAAGCAAAGCTGACCTAAAGGGATCCCTGATAACGGTGCAGCGTCGTGGAACACGATAGATCAGAATGGATGCAATAAATTTTTCGAATGCATTCCTAGTCTTCGTTAGGAGTAATTTATGTACGGTTTAGAGAACGACTTGTACGTAGGAGTATATAACTGGCGTGTCTTCGGACCGCTCGGAAACTTTTCCATCGAGAACACGCGTCGTAAAGTCGCCAGTAATCTTTGCGAAAGCTACGGCGCGAAATTGCACCCAATAACTGGTAGCGTCAAATCCATTAAACTGTTAAACGCGACGCATTGAAATTATTGCTGCTATGATTATTATTCTGTTGCCAGATGCGTTTTACTTTGACAAACATCGCAAAACAGAAAAGTGTTCAACCATTGATAATTAATGAAATTTCTCATCTGTTTGGGACAGTGAATAAGAATCAACTAGGAACGGTAACAAAGTAGCTACAGGGATCCAAGGAACTACAAACTTTCATATTAAAAATTTACATATTTCTTTGGCACCTATTCCTTAAAGAATATGCTTATTTATTTTGCCGCGTTACTACAGCAAGCATTCAATATTTAATTTATTCTAAACGCTTTTTCTCACTAATGACTAGCTCGATATTATTAAATCTAAGTATACTGACTTTTGTTATGTTAAAGGGAGCACATGAAGGAAGAGGTACTAACTAGTACGTGACGTGGAACTTAGAAAATATGATCGCGCTTTTCAGATTTAGTTTTCGCGTTACTCGTGAACATAGGTATTTTGTTATTGCAGTTAGTGCCACTCGACAGAGCTAACATTATGTTCTTGTTGCTCATCGTTGTAGACAGTTGAGAATCTGTAAGACAGAACTAGAAGAGAAACGAGCAATAGAACTAAATGGTATTTTTATGGTGACCATGCAGACATATTTTAATTTACAACTGTTTGAATTAATGTAGAATTAATGGTAGTACGAATTAAATACGCACCTTCAGCGGAGCTTTTTCGTGTCACGAGGTTACGCACCTTTCCAAACCACCCCTCGCTCAGCCTTTCTCGAAATTTTGGAGTGGTGAAAGTATACAGCAATGGGTTAACTGCACTGTTCACGGGAAGAATGAACACTACCACCCACGCATGAACATCAGCTAAAAACGAGCAATTTACACATTATCGCGATGAAAATAATAATCTGCACTTAAAATCAGAGAAACGTATAATATAAATTGTCGGTTTACAACATAGATTTATTTTATCATTCAGAAGTTTTCATCGAGCACTTTTCCGGATTCGTTAAATTTGAAATTCTTGTTTGAGTAGAACACTTGTGGAAATGTTAACAAGACAAATGTATCCATCGATTTTTGATACAATTTTAAGGTAACTTGTAGTGTTAATAGAATAAAATTACATGCGCTTTGAAAAATTAAATGTTTCGAATACTATATGTATGTTGTACATACTATAGTAGTGTATGATTGTCCACTTTAAGGTCCACTATCGCACAAGTAATTTCTTTCCATTAGAATATTATAAATCTAAGATTGAAAATGAATGAATGAATAAAAATATTTCACGTGTTGCTCACCTGGGATAGGATAGTTCATCAGGGCTCTAATTTTGAGGATGATGATCGGTGCCCAGCAAGCGGCGTCCGTCAGGACAATGAAGAAAAACCTCAAGGCGAATTCAGAATCGCCGACGGACAGAGAACAGGCGTGTCTTGTTTTCCAGATGCTCGCAAACATCCCCACATAAACGTAGCCAATCGTTATCAATCTGCAATACGAAATAACGTGGAAATTGCGAATTTCAATGTGAATCGTTTTGTAATTTCTCTTGAGGATTATTTATGTTCTGTTTGTGCGTTGATACTCCCTCTTACCCTAAGAGATTCAATCCCAAGAAAATGAAGACCGAGTACTGCCATCCAATTAAATACGGATCGTCGATGTGCAAGGGGAAACACATTCCGTTCACGCCGTAAAATCTCGTGCTGCTTCGCCAGTGAATGACTTTCAAACAATTTATGGTTAATGTCAGTTGACTAATCGTGACATGCGTTGTCCAAGCTGATGGGAATGATGAATGTACGCGTGTAGTAATCGTTTCAAATGAAACGTACGGTGGCACACAATTTTCGATAATAGCTAAGGTTAAAGAGGACTCTGCTACTTTCATTCCTAGAGTTTATCACGTGAATTTTCTACTACCAACGGGAAACGGAATAGTGTAGATGCATGATTATATTTTGCTTGTATCAAGTTTATATACATATTCTTTTCTTTCATCTCTTGCATCATAGTTATTTCTATAAATGAGACATTCGTATTTTAAATTTTATTCACTTTCACATTCTTTGTATAAGTATGTGTACTGTTACAGCAAAGTCTCGGATAACATTCACGAATCTTGATCCATGCCGACTAAATCTAAATATCATTTGAGAACTCTCAAAAAATTGTTTCCGTGGAAAGAATAACCAAGAATGAATCTATCTTTTTATTACATTATTAATAGAGAGGGTATGAGTGAAATGGAAGTTAAACAAAATCAATGCAGAGCACATTTTCCAAATAAGAATAATACCATTATCATTTCATTCTGGCTCGTCGTGTAGCATTTGCATAGGTTTAACACATATTTTTCGTATGCAGATCCATCATAAGCGCATAAAATCGGCGTAGTGCACCGACAAGCCGTGGCCTTACAACAATCATTGATCGAAATCGGTTGAAATTGAAGCCGTAACATTCGGTTAGGTTGAATTTTAAATCACCGCAACGACTGTCGAATAATCGACAAGCGAACGTCATAACAGTTAATTGATTCACAAAGCGACCAAATAAGACAGTGATGCTGAGCTGGTATTACGTTATCATAACCGGCGGGTTAACAAGCAGCTGGACATCTTGACAGGTTATTAGATGTTATCACGAATCATGCAGAGGTGCTTTACAATCGAATAAGAACCATTAAGACGAACCTGGCACGAGAGCGAGGGTAATTCCGATGATCCAAATGACGATCATTGACGCGGACGCCGTTTGCGGTGTCATGGTGCGGTGACCTTTCAGTGGTGCCGCGATTAGCATATATCGTTCCACCGACATGAAAGACAGGATCAGCACTGAAACCTTGACAGATCGATTCCATTTTAATACATTAACGACGTGACCGTTTGACCTCTCGAGAAACGGCTAATGGAAATCCGTCGAATTTACGCGACGTTTGGACAAATTTTCTGCCTGCTCAAGGTGATTTCAGGCTGATTTCAGGAACTAGAATGTATGTCATTTCTAATGTAAGAAAGGCAATTATTGATCGGAGAAAGTTGCTTGATATTTGGATGGAAAATCGTGAAAAGAATCACTTCGTCCAAGACAAGTTCGAATATGAATACTGATTTTACTCGGTCTGTCCTAGTTTCGGAAATTGTCCTGTATTTATAAACAAAGTATTAAAAATACAGTTAAGCGTCTCATACCTCCAACGATGTCATTGCCAAAACTCCCAAAATGGTGCATCCCCAGGATGACATCCAGGAACTGGCAACTCGATTGTAATTATCGCGGAATATCATGTCCGCCACAGCGATTACGAACAGATATATTCCCATCAACGTGTCGGAGACTGTAAAAGGATTATGCGACTCCCATACCGCACCCATGCGATTCAATGATTTATGATCGACGATATTAGAACCGAATATGGTCGATCAATCATTTTTACGTTGCCTAGTGTTCACAACGATCAGTGCGCGTCATTTATGATAATACTTGCGTTCGTTTCGCATCTACTTATTTATTATATTCTGAACGGATTAAGAATATATTAAGCGACTGCATAGTTTTCATACGGTTTTTATTATTATTATTATTATTATTATTATCTTTCAGCCTTAGTGTTAGGTTCCCTTTCAAAGATTAAGGCTTTATCTCAAGAGTACATAGAGAATTGGAAAAATGTTGTACTTGAACAGTTCTAGAACATAACTCATGTAAACTCGAGGTGCACTTCTCGAGAGTCAAAATATTCATATAGTCTATTTAGAGCAGTGTAAATATTTGAACAAGTGAAGTAGAGAATATAGAACGCGTATAAAGAATTCCTACTTCGATTCTCTACTTCTATTTTGTCTTTCCCGAAGTACAGACTTTGTATTTAATACGATTGCTTTTCGATGAGAAATCAAACGTGTCTCTTAATATAGCATACTCTCAATTTTTATAGTACCTTCCGTTCATCCTTACGAGTCCGACTTAAATGGAATATATCGTAATTGTTACTATCATTTACAATTACAACGATTTTTAAAATAATAAGTGTGCACCGTAATAGAACTGGTAGCATCTTTAAAAAGTGTACGAAGAACTTCGCAATCGCTTAATAATTCGTGAAGCAGTGCTTTGTATTAATAATTGATAAATCATTTTCTGCAGTGCAGGTGCAAATTACTTGTCATTTGAGTTAGAATAATTCAAGTAGTTATCAAAAGATTTTCTAAGGAATCGTCGCAACTAACCAGCCAGGTTTCTAATGATGATAGTTAGTACACGATTCTCATCCTTGGCCGTGAATCTCCCCCATAGAACAAGGACGTTGCCCATGCAGGTAACACACGATATCACCCACACTGCTGCACGTAGCAAAGGCTTGTCGAGTAAGTGGGACAACGATGAGACTCCTACAAAACAAACGATTCTCAAATTAAATAGATAATAATAATTTAATAATAAAAGTAATATTTCTCTCAAGGATGTTACTTTTAAAATTAATCTAAAGATTATATTGTCCGTCAATACCTTACTAATAGTAGTACGTGCTTTCGAATGTATTATTACAGTTACAATAAATATCTTGATGATTGCAGTCTTCTAAACGTAGCATGTAACGTAATGTATTTATAATGGCTGAATAATAAGTGAGTACGCAGTTGAAAGTACGAAAACTGTTCAGATCTGATTTAACTTAAGAGATAAATCAAGTGAAAGCTTAAAGATGTATCGCATCTGTAAATTGTATTTATTTGAAGATAATAAGCTTTATACTTGTAAGTGAATTTTACCCAGGCACGTGAAAGTCTTTGAAAATATTGTAGGAAAATAAAATATAAATCTGACTACCTCGAGTTATAATATTAACATTAAATTAAACGGTTTTTTTTTTATGCATTTGTCTTACCGTCACTGGCTGGCCGACATCTTTGCGCGTTGGGCGCATAAGTCGCGCAATAGTGAAATTTCTTGAAGTATCTACGAAAATGATCCCAATATGAATCTACTTAATTAAAACTGTATAAAAAAAAAAAAGATAATAATACAAGATTGTTTGCTCTGTTATAGCGATATCATTGCATTAAATATTTAAACACTTCTATGTTTCAGCTTTAGTTTTAGGTCCCCTTCAATAAATTTTGCTCTAAATTAAAAATTGAAGATTAAAAAACGAAAATAAATATTATACACGAGTAGAAATATGCGTTTTCAAAAATTACCAACAGCGAAATTCATTAAATTGTATATGTAACACTGAGAAACGTATTCTAAACTAACAGACGCTGTCTGACTAGTAGCGTCTGGATTTACTTACACAAAGTCCAGGTGCCGGAACATGTCGAACGCGTTCATCTTCAGCGTGTCCAAATTGATGTCTTCCAAGTCACTACAATTTCCATCGACGATAAGCATGCAAAGAGTCAGTGTAACCAATTTCGCGCTATAACCGATACGAAAATGAGAGAGTATTGCAAATGGTATGTATCTATGAGACTTACAGGGAACGAAGTTTTGTTAGTGGACTCAGTACTGGCATTGGTAGGTTGTGAATACGATTGTAGCCCAATTCTCTGCAATTAATGACAGTATATAATATAAAACGTGTATATACATATATAGTAATAAATGTTCTTTTCTTCAAGTTATGAAAAGGGTCAAAGTTTTATATCTTACACGCTATAATTTCAAACAACACATAATCTAGGCTTTCGATGTGAAATTTTGTTGCACTCAAAGAACTAGAATAGTACAGCAATGAAATGTTAGGTCACCGTATAAGTTCACTGGATCGGTATATTTTAAATCCTCTGGTACTGGGTTATCACCCAATTAAAGTAATCTTAACAATTGGATATTTTACTCAAGCTTGAAACTTTCATCTGAAAAGCTATAAAATTGTCAAAGGAAGAAGCGAGCAACGAAGGGGAGTACTTGCGAGCGATTAAATGAAAAATAATCCTCTTCGGATTCGTTTAATTCTGACGAGTTGCGCGGCGACACATCCGCCTTATTTTCGTACGTGCCGCTAGAATAAATAAAAGTTTTAACGCCGAGCATACGTGACGTTCCACACATTTGCTTTTCTAACGGCGCACAGCGTGTTCGACGGTAAACGTCATGTAAATACGTCGCGAGCACGTGCGTAGCTTAAGACGTGTAACGTTAAAATTTATGCGAGTGGTCAGGTTTCCCCCGGTATACTTACAGCCTCGTGAGATTTTTCAAAGGCCGGAATACATTGAGCGGGACAGTCGTTATCTCGTTGAACGCCAAATTACTGGACAGAAAAATTGATTTCGATACGGCAACCTGATAAACGATTTCTCATTGCGAGACATTTCGTGAAAGCTTTTGGAAAACTCACAGTTCCTCGAGCTGCTTCAAGTTTCGAAACGTGTCTTCCGCGATCGTTCTTATCACGTTCTTCTGCATGCTCCTGGACATCGTTCAACGTCATTTCGATCATTGAAAGTCGTTCAAGTCGGGGGTGCATAGCTTCTATTTTCAACATCTACTTACGTACGTACAGTGATCTTAACGCTGGGCATCCCTCGAACAACGTGTCGGGTATGGTCTCGAAATTGTTCTGATTCAGCAATCTGGAAGTTTGTCACGAAGATCGAAAGGGGTATAGTTTGAACTTTTATAAACGATAGGGCTGAATGCTTACATTTCATCTAGTGCTGGCAAGTATGGCAGCTTCAGAGACACTGATGTCAGCTGATTCTCGCTCAAGTCTCTACAACGGTGTTATTCGTTTAGAAAATGTTATTTAATATAGTTGAGTTGAATTACATTGTATATGTAAAATATTTTGATGTACATTGCTACAGGCTCTCTTTAAAAAATTATAAGAATGCAATGGAATTCATTCTGCGAGTAACTTACATGAAATGTAAAGCGTTGCTTCCCTCCAAGTCTGAAAAGTCTGCTATGTTGATTCTGTTCTTATTTGCCCTCAGGGAATCCAAGTTAATTAGATCGGTGAAATGTCCAGGTAGTAGTTCACTGATCTTATTATTATCTAACGCTCTGTGATGATGGGAAAAGTTTAAATAATGTATTAGGTCGTCCCATAACTTCGTGCCACTTATTCTTCTGCTACTCAAATTAATATATGAAACATACCGTTAAGTATTACAACAAAATGTAATCTTTCTTGTTTTACGATATTTCCCCACCTTTCTTACATAAATATTATACAGTCGCTATAAAATTTTTATAATTTTTTTATTAAATATTGGCTCAGTCTGCACCACGAACTACTTATGACATGACCTAATATTATTGAATGTAGCGACTTTTATTTTTCTTAAGACTCCACTATGTAGTATTTCACTTTTAATTTGCAATAGTTTCTGATTTATCGTTCATTTTTAAATTTTCATTGCTCAGCTCAGTAAGTAAATTCCATTTTTAAGTCTTCATTAAATTAATCGAAAATTTTCTTTAAATAAGCACATAAAGACCCTCATAGGTTGAAATTTAAAAGAAATAACTCGTGCTAATACGAGTTAAAACTACGAGCTAAAACTCGATACGAGTTTCTGGAATAGGAGTACTTACAGCCAAAATAATTTTGTTAAATTTGCAAAGGCGCCTATCTCTATCTCGCTGATATCGCTGCCATCGAGATACCTACAAAGGACGATTACCTTCCGTTTATATTTTCAGTTAAACGATGTCGCGAAACTCGTTAACAATAACAGCCAGTAGTATACAAAAAACTTACAGTAAACGTATTTCTGAGTATTGCGCAAACGCGTCCTTTGGCACACGTCTAATCGAACTGTCGTATAGAGTTCTAAAAATATTTGTTGACTTTTAGCCTTCGCGTTAATTAAATTACATTTAATACTTTAATACTGTGAAAGTGTGGCATACGATATAGATAGAATACTTGATTTTTAAGTATTTAAAATTCGTACATGGATGTGGTTTGAGATGACAAGTTTTGAGGTATCGAGAAGTATCCTTGGCAGGTTACACGACACATCACGTATTTACATCGGGGAGGGATATCGGTAGTGTCTAGAAAAAAGTGACAAGTTTTGATTCTATCTTTTGTATTCGTAATTTTAATTTTTCCGTATATTATACTCTGTTTCTAAAATTCATAAATAATTGGATTCTTTGTTACCGCAAACGAAATCCCTTACAGCTTCCCTTACAGATTCTCTGTCGCTGCCAAACCAGTCCAATACTCCATGAAAATCAACTGTGTACGGGGTAATAGAGTTCACGTGAACAACGTAATTAAATACACGTTTCAGTTTATAATGTGAATATATACCGATGGGAAATAAGTATCAAATATGCACCTACTCTTACAACCAACAAAAACACATTTCATTTTGCCGCTTTAGAGACATGTAACGAAAAGAGATTCAAGTCAGAATCTATTAAGAAATGTTAACCTACAGCAGTTTTGTTCGTCGTCGCCGTAAGGACATTCCACTTCCTGATTGCACCAATTCCTTTGGGGTAAACAAATGGTGGTGTTGTAACAAAGGAATGTTCCCACTGGGCAGGTGTCTGAAATTACGAACAATTTCTCCCGTGATTTCCCTACTGCATTAAAGGTCGTAACATTGACTTTGAAGCCACAGTAATACGCCAATGTATACAGTATATGTACACGTGCAAACAAGTCTCTTGGTAGTAAGAATGGAAGTTTGTTAAGCTTACATTACGGTTACTTTTACTAAAAAAAATCAATTTGTTCGAATTAGAAAGATACAGTTGTTCGAGGACAATTTAAATTAGACTCCAGCTAGTAAATAAAGGGGTATGCATTGCTATCTGAGAGTAATTGATTAATAATTTAATTTACTCGGTTCTTCCATTCTATCGCGCCCACTTTCGCACAATTGGTCACTTACTTCCATTCATTTCTCGACCTTTTCATCAAATGTTAAACTCGCGTTGGACATGAAACTAACTTTAAATAAAATACGAATATCGACAAGGTCGTATACCCAAGAGATGCTTATGTAAGTTTTGTCATAATTCAACACTTGAAAGATGAGTTGTACGTGACTAAACATATGTACATGACGCACTGTGAAAAAATGTATTCGTTGAGAAAAGAAAAAAATTTTTCATTTCTTAATACATTCGACAATCCGTGGAAAGATATATCTTTCGAAAAATGAATAACAGTAAACGGCTTGTGTAAGTGTATGACACCTGTCTTGAATGAGTTCACTCTGAAAAATTCATCATAATATCACGTTTAATTTTTACGAATCTCATGAAATTCTACACATGAATGTAAATTTGTATATAATTGTATTGCGATTAAAGTGTGTATCTAGAATTCTTTACAAAACATTTACTTATTTAAGTACTCGATGTTAAACATAAAGATATCACTGAGAAACTCTGTAAAATGATTAAACGTTAACTATCTAAGGGGAGAAATAGTACAAGCTGACCAAAAGTAACAAAAAAATGGCAGAGACAAAATTGTACTCACGATACTTTAGCATCTAAATTTGATTTATTGTGTGTTCCTCTAGCAAATAACGACTAGTAATGTTTCACTCTGTAATTTCTGGTCACCTTATAAACTTCTGATCTGCAACGAGTCACATACCTTGGTTAAAGTAATACATGAGCCCTGAGAGCAAGCATACAGAGCCGATCAGAGACGCTCCAATGACGCCGATTCGCAGGTATCTCATATCGAATCGAAAATATTTGATCTGCCCGCAATAACCTCGAATCGATCTGTCGAGTCTGGTTTCGCTCGACTTTCGTGCTTTTCCTTCGCACGGACAGTGTTCTCCACGTGCACTCGGTGCAACGACTGCATGACACTGGTTGCATCCGCTAGCACGTTGCAAGCTCTGACGTCGCGCACACGCGCTCTTCATCGTCCTCGAATGAGGTTCCCTTGGTCGTTTGGTGGACGGAATTCCATTCCGGATTACATCGATCGATTACTCTTGCCTCGATGATCTCGATAATATAGACAGACGTGTCTGATTATAGAAGGTATCTTTGCGAAGAGACCGCAGAGATGACAGGCTTGTGTACAGGTGGAACGGATTCATAGCGATCGAGGAAAAATGTATTTTCACCTTAACGAAACGTCTCTTTAAATTATTTGTCGAATATTCAGCTATTCAGAATGCATTTAAAAGTGACTTCAGTAATTGGTTGTTTGTTAGGTAAAGGTAAACTTTTCGGGTTTCTAAAGTTTGCCTTTGTGACTTATCTTTCTTTTTGTACTACATGTATGTTGGATTAGACTAAAAGAGAGTTATGAAGTATACAGTAATGATGATGGATAAATGATTGATCATTGTGACATAGACGGTGTGCAGCATAAATTCCAATATTCAACGTGTTCTTTTTACAATTGACACGATCACATCTTGTAGATTAGTCTTATATCACAATGTTCAATATCGTGTGTCTCTTTCATCCGGCGTATTATTTTCTAAAACCCTTAATCAATAACTATAGTACTCTCTTTCGTGTTAAAGTAGCACAAATTTAAAATATATTTCTAACAATTTATTCCAATATCACTCTCGGTGCCTAAAGAAATTGATATTTCCACAGCACAAAGTGCAACTATCCGCAATCTATTCGTAGGTTTGAAAAGCAAGAGAGCGTCAAGACCATAAATTTTGTCTTCGAATGAACTGAAAATCGAGCGCAAGAAAATAATAGCACCTTTAACTTGTACGAAAGAGAGATGGTCTCGATTCGAAACTGTCGAAAAAGTAGTAATTGCTTCGATTCGATCCCTCGAGTTCATGCCCGGTCGGTGGTGTCATAGTTGTCTTTCGAACTACACGAAACTGCGGCTGATAACGTATGCAGATTTGTCTATAACAAAATTACGAGCACACTTTGAGGAATCAGAATTCGCGCCGATAGCGTGACTCGCTTCACGGCTAGCCACGACTGAATATGTAATTACCCATTAATGGAGAAGTGGGTATCGATTGAAAAACTGTCGTGATTCTGAACGTCGTCCAACTTGGCGAATTTTTATCCAAGTTTTTGGCCCACGAAACGCTTCCAAGTTCCACTCGTATATTAGCCATTGATGCAAGAAGTGTGATCATTGACCGTGAACAAAGCATTTGTAACAGAGGATCTCGCTCGATTATGTTATAGGAAATGTAGTGTAACATAATTTAGAAAAAGTGAGTGATTTTTATGATACACCTTTTAGAGGATGAAAGAAATTTTGTGAGGAGAATCGTCGACAGATGTGTGGGAATATTTTATAAGTGTATTATAATTTTTGTTAAAGTGACTGCACGTTTCGTTTTGGAACAGTTTCTTTCTTTTTATTGTAGAATATTCTGACACGATCCAATATACTTTGCGATCTTTCAATATCAAAGACATAACCGTGAAACTGTCATGTTTGCGAGATTGAAGAAACCAATATCGCTGAACGTGGAATTGTTGTACGACGATCAAGTGCTCTCATGGAGCAAGAGGATCCTCGGCTTATACGGTATCTGGCCGGATAATCGGAACGACGTTAAATTTTTCTTGTACATTACGTATGTCGTGATATTCAATTGGCTGGAGATCGTGACGCTCTTGCAGAACATGCACGACCTTGAGAAGTCGTTGAAAAATATCACATTATCGTTCCCGACCATCTTGATAGTACTGAAGGCCGTGATGTTTCGACTGAACATGCATCTGGTGCTACCATTGCTGGCAGTCGTCAGAAGGGATGTAGAGGAAGGCTTGTATCAGACGAAAGAGGAAAGGCAGACGGTGGTGTGGTACAACGTGGCCGCCACGTTATTTACCATCTCGTCGGCTATGTCTTTATTCTTCGTGCCTATGTTGTTTTATGCGAAACCAGTCCTTGATTGTTTTTCGTCGAGTAAGTTCGATACCAATCAAAGGTTCTAGTTGTTTAAGTAGACTTTTATCTTTACAACGATAAACACTATATCTAGAATATTTAACAACGAAAAATGAAATCTTACAAAAAACGAAAAGAAATATTCATACCTTTAAACAATGTCTGGATCCTGTGAAATTCAGAAAACGATAATAAAAAAATGGGCTTCGTAAGTTTGTAAAGTGACCTCTCCATTATCTGGAGCCGTTACATTGAGAACTTAACTTCCAGCTTTACACGTGAACCGGGCGTTTCATTAAAATACGAAATGACGTTTGCATTTGGTATCGCGAATCGTGGACCGAAGAAAGCGATAAAAGTCGCGCGGCGTTGTTGAGCTCGTCGTCGTTATCAGAGGTGTCTGGGATGTGCTGGCGGGATAAATCAGGATTTTAATGTAGACTTTATCGGTCGAATCCAGAAAACCCATTCGATTTCCGTATTCATATGATTCAGGGTACGGTTACCTCGAACGCGCAGTTTTATGGTGTTTCGAGGCGACAGTTATACTTCCTTCACGATACACAAACGGTTACGTTTTACGAGCCTGTCACAGTTTGTCCAAGATCTTCCACGACCACCGACGCCGTGACTTTTTCGCGACCGTTTAAAGTTTAAACCAAGTCCTCCGATGGCGAAGAACGCGAATTTATGTACTCTGGGCAGGCCGACGTGAATACCAACAAACGCAACACAAAATCAACAACACTTGATCCGTTTTCATTATAAAAACGATGGGCTATTCTGAGTCGTTGAATTTGATGTATGGGTTACATTTTTATTGGACTAGAATTTATCATAAATGCGTGTTCTTGATGTTGAAAGATAATTACGGGATTTCGTCTGAAGCTAGTAGAGATATATGAATATTTTTTTATATGAAGAATGACATTTTACTTTAAGCATTGATTCTAGACAAACTAAAATTCATCATAAAATCACCTTCTGTTATTATGCTTCAAACTTACTTTTATATAAAGATCTAAAACAGATATTTAAGTATGTACATATTTATTGTTTTAAAAGGTAAACATTGTTTTTTCTTCAACTTTTTTAAAAACTGAAAATTGTCCTTTTCTTCAATTAGAATCATTAAAAGGAACACTCCACTTTCCCTCGATGAAAATAAATAAAATTAAATATTTGACGTATCCCATTGATTCACAGAGTTCATCAATTGTACTCTTCCCTATGAATTACCGATGAGGGTGAATTCTGTCTATGAAGTGACGGAAATGCGTCTATATACATTGTTCTGCGTTTATTTGATACCTGTAAGCACGCTGTTGACTATCGGTGCGACAGGCGCGGACAGTCTTCTGGTCACGTTGACTTTTCACCTGTGTAGTCAACTATCCATACTATCGCAAAGAATTAGGAATATGGACCTCGAACCACGAAAATATTTTCCAAAAATGAGAGTACTGGTTGAACGACACACTGAACTTTTGCGGTAAGAAGATCCAAATAAACAATTAAGCAATATAGTGAAACAGATTTTATTTAAATTTCATTACAATTGACTCATCGTTCAAAGGTTGAATTATTAACAAAGGTTACGATATAGATATAATATACATATTAAATTATAGATTGGCAGGTATCTTGGCGGAAACATTCAGTTCTTTAATGTTTGTGCAGACATTAGGATTGATATTTTCTTTGTGCATCGTAGCCTACCAACTACTTACGGTAAAGTTAACAAATTCCTTCTGATACTGCATGGAGTTAATTACAAGTGATAACAATCACTTTGCTGTACTGTAAAGCTCTTAATTTATTGTTTACTTTTTTAACTGAACTGAATTATGGTGATATTTTATAGACGAGCGAATCTGGTCAAGATATGAACACGATACATTTTGTTATTTACTCTTGCGCTGTAATATTGTTAGCATTTTGCTACTGTTTCCTTGGGGAGTGTCTAATTGCCGAGGTAATTGATTTATATATGAATTTAACTTGAAACAGTAGAAATTGTATCAAAAGTGCGAGATACGGAACAAAAGTACTTGAAATATTATTTTGAGATTGTCTAGATTTGCTTGTACAGTATTTTCCAATAAATACAATTAAAGGATTTTGGGTGCTAAGACTGCCACCGCTTACCTCGACGTGTTTTAAATTATTTCCAGAGTAGTGAAATGCAGACCGCTTGCTATTCTACCAATTGGTATGAGCTGCCAGACGAGTATGCAAAATGTTTAATGTTTTGCATAGCCCGATCGCAGAAACCATTGTATCTAACTGCTGGAAAATTCTATGTGTTTTCATTGGAAACATTTGGCGTCGTGAGTTATTATAAAATATCAATTTTAAATTTACTATTTTTTCGAAAACGTGTATTTCGAACGTATACACATTGTTCTAGATAATGAAAGCATCGATGGCATACCTATCCGTTTTGAGAGGTATCATGTAGACGACAGTAGTACCTCTATGAACATACTTAACGTGCAAAGGCAGTCGTTTGTAATACAAATTGTTATTGATTATCTGATTGCTGTAAAAAGAAGGTTTACATTAAAATAATTGAAGGCTGCGATACAAGTACGCCTAAGAATTACAAGTGACATTTATGGTAATTAGTTGATGTCAAATGTAACGTGACTATTAAACGCACAATACATTCTCATTTTACTTGAGTCAAAATGCGAGTGCAGAACATGACCGATACAAATTTTACTATCATTTTTTCTAGAAATCAATGTTTCTTTCCCGCAACCAAAATTGCATTTCTACTTCAATGTTGTTATATTGACTGCGAAATATACTAACCTTTTATTTCAATTATAGAGGATTAATAGATAAGATACTTTTAAAAATAATATATATAGTTTGCGTTCAGGAGAGAAAACAAAAAAGCTGGAGTTCAGAGGAAAATTATGACACGGCCCAAAATTAAAAGTAAAAATTATAATAGTATAAAAATTCGATGATTTGCATCTGATCGATGTAAAGAAAAACTAATAAAAATTCATGTGCCTCTACAGAAATAAATTTTCTTCTAATGCGAACCAGATTCCGGATGGTCTAAAGTCTAAACGTTGAGACTAAAAATTCTGCTGTTCTTATTACTCATAAAATATATTTAATTTTCATACTTAATTCACCCATACACTCGTTACATTCAACAAAAAATATAAACAAAACATTCGCAACCACGTATTCGTAATTAAGGGACAGGTGGTCAAAGAAGAAAAGAATAAATGCCAATGACGACAAAATAGAATGACACGCATCATCCAGATGTCAAATCTCATTAGTGGTATAGCAGAATTTTAAAAAACACACGTCATTCTGTCAAATCGTCACCGACTGCCGATACTTTTGGCTGAAGGAATTATAAGAAAAATTTATTTCGGTTTATTCAAGAAAGATACAGAGTGTACAGCTGCCGAGGGATACAAATTATGCATACAACCCGTGCTTCTCGGTGAAACAATCGTCTCTATTGTAACGTCGAAGCACGAGGACCCTGCCGTCGTTCTACGTTTACAACGACCTCGATCCTACCAATGAAATAACAGTTAACGCGCATACGATATTCGCGGTACACCTTCGCGTCCTGTGGCCCCGTGCTGATTGCACCTGGGGTTCAGCAAATCAAAAAATTGATCTGGAAGACCACCCACCTAATTGTACCTGTATCACGTACAATACACCCCTTAACCAAGTCGATTCTTTCATTTGCCCGGCCATAAAAGTGTGCTTTCGGAGGAAGGATCTTTTCGAGCCAATAAACGCGATGTGCAACAACACGCCATGGTGTGGAGCGATTTTTAACGAGTCGTTCCAGAAAACTTGCGAGCAACGGGAAAACGTTGTCCAAGTCGGTACACCACACTCGAGATTTTGTGTAACAACGAAAAATGACGAAAAAAAAGTGATGAAAGAAACGAAAATTTTGCCCATCTTTTGGACTCTGGTCAACCGTTAAGTAAGGTACGATTATGTCTAAAAATTTAATCCATACCATTGCACGGGGCGCAGAGGACCGTTCGGTGTACACTCGTATGCTGTACAACCACATAAACACATGGTAATGTATTCGATGTCGTTTATTTTCATTCAGACAAATGACTCACGTTCACATGTTAACACGCAGCCACGATGCGCTCGTGGCGCTTCCATTTGTTCCAATATAAAATCGTCCGTCTCTGTGTACGGTGTGTCTCTTGTACATGAATGTACGCGCGGTGTATACGTGTGCATACGCGCCTAGTGCAGTTTTGTGTGTGTGTGTGTGTGTGTGTATTTGTATTTAGTATGGAAACAAGTTGTGTTCACTAGAGTCGTTCGTTTTGAGGTCTTTTCACGTTGCATTCGAGACAGAGATAAAAAGAGAGTTAAAGCAAAATGGAGAAACAGTATATGATACAAGATAACGTCCGACGAGAATCTTAGACGACCGAAAAGTTGATCGATTTCGAGAACGCGTGGAATTTCGATACATCGAAATTTTTGAGACTCTACACTCTTTCGAAAATGTTCGTCTCTAAGATATTTTCAGCCTTGCCTTCAGCATTTTTTTTCGACTTTTTTCAGTTTTTTTTTTTATCGTTTTAAATTTCTTTCCTTTGTTTGGTTGTCATTTTCTGTTTCTTTGTTTATTGTACAAGAGAAGTGTGTCGCGGGCGTGATATTCACCGTTTCGTTTAGCGTTCTTAGCGTTCATGTTTGGGCGGCTCGAGAACGCCGCACCGACGAAGATGAAGAGCGACGGTCTCGAGAACCGATCGGAAAATTAAAAATGTGCTATAGACATGTCTGCCTGATGTTCGAAGGGAACCATGGATAAAGCTCGAGCGCACGATCTCATTCCCTTTTTTTTCCACTAAATTTTCGATTAATTTATGAAAGAACGTGGTATTTTACGTGCGAGGGTAATCTTGATGTTCACTGTTTATCGATGCATGTGTGTCTGCGTATGCGTGCTAGTAAAATTCCGTGATACGGTAATCCTTCGATATAATGTCACTTTGGTTGTTTTTCTATCGAGTGAAGGTAGCAATTTTATTTTAGGAATCAACTCAATAAATATTTAAATTTTTATTATTGATCCAGATAAACAAGTCGACGAGTGACTTGCGATTATTGAAGAAAAAAAGTAGTTTGGGGATGATTTGTATCGCTTTATCGAGGACGAAATCTGTTGTTATATCAAGGGATTACTGTACTATCCACGTGTCTCTCAGGTTTCCTCTTTCAAAAGAAATATCGAACCAACGGTTCACTTGTATCGCTGCTTTTCGCAGATGTTTTATTTCGATATTAGGAAAGTAAATATTAATAGCAATAATTGAGAGTAATATTAAAGATAATAATAACTATTGTTAAATCTATAATAATAGGTAAATCATATGGCGATAAAATGTTAACTATAATATTAATTGGACAATAATCATATATCGAGGGTAATAAAGATATCGTATCTTTATAAAGTCTAGAATTTCAAAACAAATTTCAGGAACTAATAGATGTCGAAGAACCTTCAAAGAGGAGAGTTTGAACGATCGAAAAGTCTATAGACAACTCAGAATTTTGTATCCCTCCATTCAAATATAGACAATTATTTCTTACGCTCTTTCGTCGTAAAAACTGTTTCAATAAAATCATTCACGATTTTTATTCTCATTTATAAATTTCGATTCGCTTCAAACGAAAAAGTTTCGATCAAGGGCATGATTTTTCGAAAAAAATACAAACCAATACATTCATCAATTCGTGGCTCTGGACAAAATATACTCTCGAACATACTTGGCCCCCGAAACGTATATTTCATCAAATAAAACCTAACTCTACAATCTAAACTTTCCATTTTTCAGTCACTTCATCTCAACATACTCATTTAAAATTTTCAATTAATCATGTCTACGCTTAATCAACAAGTCTTTCGGAAAGGATTACGTATTGCACCATTATTAGGTCACCTTTGATCTTTCATTCTCATCATTTTACTCTGAAAGATAACCAGTTACATTCTGGCTGAGATCAATTGTCGTCTTTGTATTGTATACGTCAAAAGATGTTGTACAATTCAACCGTTAGATTAAATTCTCCTACAAGATTAAAGTACTTGGATGCAAAGTCCAATTTAATAACCACGCGAACGTTAATCCATACTGTAGAATAGTGTCCATACAACCGGGTAAAACGTTCTAAGTGGAGCGTAGAATGAATAATATTCTTGCATAAGAGACTCATTTATTTAGGGCCAGAAAATCTCAATTTACGCGACAAAATTGGTACACTGACTACATTCGTCTAGATTTGGAAAGGTTTCTCATGTTCATATTTCGCGAGTCACAGAGTAGTTACTGTAACAGAATGATAAAATTCAACATAAATAAGGCAATAAATCATAACGCAAAAAAAAAAAGAAAAGAAAAGAAAAACATTTTTCGATAGACCATAATTGGTTGAATAATATTAGGTATAATATCTTCGTTGCTCTATACTTGGATTGGCTCAAAACATGAAAGGAGAATGTATACCGATTCTAATAACGATGACGATCGGTTAAGCCCTGAAACGAAAGAAACTACTATTCCAAAATTATGACGAATATAATATATATATGTACAAACAACGAAATGGTCCCTGACCACTGAATAAAATTAACTACAGTATTCGCAAAGTACTGTAACGCGTCTTGAATCGAATATCGTGCAGACTCACAGCGAATCTCGCTATAATCGAGAAATATATGCAACGTATCGACGTGCGATGACAATAACTTTGTAGGCATGAGGTGAAAAAGAACTGTACAATTTATGGTAAAAGTGGCGTGTCGTGGTGTTAATGATAGAACTGAGATTCTTTGTACATGTACAAAAATTGTATTCGAATGCGGTACTTGATTTCGTGGAGTCTGCATACTTGATTCATCGGTACGATGGTCGCTACACATTCGAATGTAATTATCGTTTCGATATATCTGTACATGTATTAGAGAGTGAACATCAAATACCTCGAGACATTCGATGACCGACATGCCTTTAACACAAAGATAATTCGAGAAAGGAAAAGGGGATTTCGTAAGACGAAAATCAGGATCAGGAGTATAAGATACAGAACTAGAACTGAAGGGGACTGAAGGCAGTCGAACACCTGAAAAAACTCACCAACAGGTGATATCGATGGTTTGATAAATCCAGATGCCAGTCCCTTGTTGCATTGTTAAAGCTATACGTTCGTTTCTGTGAATAAAAACTAAAAAGCGACTCCAATACGAAACTCATTTACGTAATACGATCGTCAATAAAATAGTCAATGGCTTTCTAAGGGATGTTTCATTTACAGATAGTTTCTAAGTAACCATGAAGCGAATCTATACTATACGACGCTTGTTTGTTTTGTTTTCATTTTTTTTTTGTTCTCTGTAAATGAAACATTAAATCTCTCATGCCAGTGTCGGTGATTTTCGTTCATTATCCGAGTGGTTACGGATACGATACAAAACTAGAAAAGAATCTTACGATTACGCGAAAGTATAACAATATCGTATGCTTCGGAATTGAGCTCCATTTAGTAACTGATATTTGAATAATCCGTTTAGCATAGATATTATAAATAATAATAAGTAATGTTATCATAAATATATGTTCTAAATAACTGAAGCAAGTAAAACATATTATCATATTACGATTACACTTTCTCAAACTCAAAGTTACATAGTTTCATGTATTTTACACCGACGCGAGAATAACAAGGTGCACGAATTATTTACAACTTAGACGTACCTCATTCTTTTTATACTTTATCTACTAATGCATTAAACAAATGCGCTTTTTTTTTATACAAGAATACGTTTCATCCTCGTAAGACTAAAACCTTTATAATTTTTTTTTAATTAATTTTTTTCCTTTTAATCGAAAATTCTAATATAGGCTTCTTTCTAATCAAAATACCGTTGGTTATATTGACGTATCAACGCGATAACACGAACTGTTTTCCAGACCCGTCACCTTAATCATTTTTTCCTCATTTTGTTTATAATTTCGTAAATAGAAATCATTACAAGCGATATGTACAAAATGAAATATAAAATTAAAGTTATTAACGGGTAGTGATGGACCTAAGTTTCGTATTATTTCTAATTATTCAATTATGAATTCCCAAATTGCTATGCGGTTTGTGATAAAAGTAACATCACAGACACTGGCACAATCATTAACTCGTAGCGTAATCGTTCTCATTGACTGTTGATGTTTATAAATACTAAAATCAGAGCGTCTGTCACACAGTCGTGTATCGATTGATTCCAACGGGTAGCTTTCTCCAACGCATGACGTTGCTTTGTTTTTACGAAACGGGGGACTTACAGTGGGCAGTGGATGGTTGCATGAGATGTGATTACAGTCTAGATGGCCCGGAGGAACATCTGTGAATCGATGTGAGGTAGTAATCCTGCAGTGGTCAAGTGCAAACGTATCCTTCCTGTGCTACTGTGGATGCACCGGTAGGCCCATCCTGAAACATGTTAAGCATACCAAGAAAAATTTAAGATAACCGATCAGGGAATTAGAATATATCAGGTACATAAAAGTTAGAGAAAGAAGCGGAACGTTGGAAACAAATCATACGCAGTATTCTCCGCTCCTTACCTCCTCGCGAATCCGATTTACGTTACAAGAATTCTTTCTTTTCCAATGAATCCGAAATTCACTACTACGCTCTATTTTTATATGTAGTTACCTAATTTTGTTCTATGGTGATTATTGTTCATTATATGTACAATGTCTTACATCCTTTGTAGCTGTCAATGTTTGTTTGTATTCATCCAAGCTAAATCCGGAATTGCTATCTTCTCCACAAGATTGAACCACTAACGATCCATCTTCTCCCTTAATAGGTATTGATTTTATGTTAGCTACATTTATCCTGAATGTGTACCTTTTAAACACCCGTTGATATATCCTATTTGATATGTACCTGTGTTACTTGCGGCTCGGCGTCATTGACTCTTCGTTTCTTTCCACACGTGTCCGGGTTCTGATCCGATAATCTCTTCCTACTCGCTGTATCTCCTGGGTTCCGCGGCGAGACACTACCACTGTTTCCATTACCAGCAATGTTTCCATTTTTATGTACACTGCCAGAGACCTGTCAAACATAAAGATTAATGGTTAATATTTGTTTTAAAATTATGTAAGCAGTATAATACGAAAAATATATTTCGATTGTTAAAAAACAAATTTATCGATTCGCGTACTTTTCTTTCGCGCTTGAGTAAACTGGTGGAAACATATGTATGTAGATCCTTCCGCTTCACATGTTTAGCTTCTATCCACATGCCATCCTTCAACATGTTTAATTGTTCCGCTTGCCTTTGAACTGCAATTTAATACGAAACGTAAAGTATACATCCATCTCTGCTTATAAGCATATACATATCAATATATACTTACTCGAGTCTACGAAGGATTTAATATCGTATGTCAAATCGACGTTCAAGTTTTCACTTTTGGCAAATAGTAAGCCGATGAACCACATGGAACAGTGGCCCTCCGGTTCTGCCTCTAACGGTGGAAATGCTTCTGGGTTTACGTGGGCCAATGTAATGTGGGGATTCCTTTCCAGTGTACCTGTTTTTAAGTTTGGATTTTGCCATTTTGGCACCCGCGGATTATTAGCATTGAAATATCAACAAATTAATATACAAATTCAAAGTTTGATGATAAGAAGCGACACAGATTAAGACAGAAATTTTTAAAATTCACTGATTTTAGCTGCTTACGCCTGTGACAATATTGAATCGAAGACCTATGAATAATTTAAAAAAATGTATATTTCAGTGAAAGTAACCTGTTTTTATCTACGTCATTTAACTGGAACAGACATAATATAGTATAATGAACTAACTCCAAGGGACAAGTTATGCATCCTTATTGGCACTTCTTAAAACTCTTAATGCAATTGTCAAAATTATAAGTACTTATATTGTATTGTCTTCGAATAATAAAAGGTGTAAGATGGATAAAATACAAAATTCCGCCATTTTATAGGCGGAAACTAAGACGTTTGTTATCACATATTTTTTTGTTCTAAACGATCATTACCCAGGTGATTTCGTGTGTTATCATATATACATATATATATATGACATCTCGTATACAATGTAGAGTAATGCTTTTTTTTGTATTTATAAACAAATTTCAACATGTTCATAGAGTCCACTAACATATTTATTGTTGTATTCAATATTTTACCTATCAAATGTCGTATCTTTGACTCGACAAGCCCACACCATTCAAGTTGCTCCTCTGCTGCCAAACTTCTAGCAAGTAATACAATGTAATGTTTGTATTTGCCAAAGAAGTTCGGAGGTTCGAACAACTTATCCCACGTTGCTTTCCCCATGATAATTTCTTCCGTTACGGACAACCCAGTTTCAAATGCCTCTTGCATAATGGTTCTCGTTGAAACTGATACGTTAAATGTTGAATTTTGTTGAGGATATGCTGGTGTAATTATTGGCATCAAATGATATCTATCTGATATATTTACCTTCGAGAAAAAATATATTGCGATAAGAAGCTTCTCGTATTATAAAACGAAATTTAATCAAACGACTATATATACATATATGTAAATGATATAAATTCTTACTCTTGGATCCCACACTGGAAAACCTAAGTTAACATTGTCAGGCTGCTTTAAGAGAACTGGTTGTGGCCATTTCCACTGAGAAAATACAAGGAAAAATTTTTCTATTAACGTTGCCGCAACAGCATTAGGATAAAGTTGACATGTTCTTGCAACCAACATTGCCCAAGATACACCTCCTAGATACCCTAGCACATTACTATATATGCCATTTCCTAAGAAAACAAAAATAAAATTAAACACATAGAAATCAGATAAGGATTTCAGAGTGTAAAAGTAATTAAAAGACAACAATCTTACGTTTTGCCCACAACTTAATAGCTCTAAGTGCCAACCGAAAATTTTCAATATTAGGTACTAAACGTAGTATCTCGTCTGTTACTCTGCAGCCATTAAGACTTCTCACACATTTCTGATCAAGATTTTTCAGAAGCATATCATCTTTAAGATCCTATACATGAGAATAATACTTGTTATCATAGACATAAAATATAAATTAAACACTCACATTAATTACCCATAAACAATTTACTAACCATTGTATCAGGAATTTCTTTAAGAGCTAGTTTTGCAAACAACATATCAATTTCAATACCATCAAAATTCATTTTTATGACTGGTACAAATGCTTCTTCCACTGCCTAAAAGGTATTAAGTAATGTAACAGAAAGCAGTAAAACTTTAATTAAAGTATATAGACAATTTATATAAGACGTATCATTCATGTATTTGTGTCGAAGAATCTTATGATTTCTATCAACTATAGCAGTTAGTCTAAATGTCAATTGTGATACTTACCATGTAAATGCTATTTGAAAACAAATTCATATTAAAGGAACAATTAATAACTAATGCTAATAAATATTATTATAAATACATACCCTTAAATCTGTAACTTCTTCTTGCATTTTCAGTAACTCAAAGAAGGATGAAAAATAATCCGACCTATAGATATGACGAGGTACAACACATAGGGCATCTATATCGGCACCTTTGTGATGTACCCCTAACCTATATGAACCGAAAGTATATATTTTACCGCCAACTAGTTCAGCAACATTGGGTGGCATATTTCTGGCAATACTTGTGTCCCTTATCCACTGCTTCACAAGTGTGTTTAATTTGCTATGTAAATGCAACAATAAGTATAATATGTGTGAAATATTTATTACCAATGCTATATAATACAGCTAAATGTAAAGCAAGTACCTTAATATTTCCATTCTGTGATTTAATTCTTCTTCTGATTCAAATACATTATAAGGTTTTAATGCTTCCCTTAATTCATTTGTCCTTGTAAGATCACTAGGTTTTGGTTCTGCTACACTAATAGCAGATGTCATACCCAATGTACGAAGATTTCTTTCATTTGGAGCATTGGAGTTTGAGTTATTACCTTGCGAAGACCACATTTTGGCATTCATTAATTTTGTTAGAAATCTGCAATAAACCAACTTATTAGATTCATTTATATTTATATGCTCGGCAAATTTGTATCAAAACAGGATTATATAAATGAACGTTAATTTTATAGAGTTGAAAAATCAACAGAAATATCGTCAAAATATATGCAAGAATACATGTCTGTGTGAAAAAGAATTTCAAACAAATATTTCAATTTTGTATTTGTAATACTTAAATTTAATACTTATTTCCATATAGTTATTGTATTTGGAACATTGACTATATGTATATTTATATTCAATTGTTGTACATCTATATAGCTATTATGAATAAAAACATCATGTGTAACAAAAAAAGGTTCAAGAAATAAAAATAATTGGCCCTGTTACACAAGAAAAAAGTAGTGCACAAACAAGAAGGATAAAAAAATAAATTCATACATTTATTTCACAGAGTTATTCGTTAATTTACAAAATATGCAACGATCTTGGCAGTTACTTAATCGCGCGATTTCTTTTCCATAACACGCGCACGTGATGAAAACTACGTAAAAATGTGAACGTTATGGTCTCGTTGGATCCTTACCACTTAATATTTTGTCAAAGATGCTATGACATGATAAAGACAGAGAAACTTTTGAACGTGTTGTCAGGTTATAAAACACGCAAATGCTCGTAGTAAGGGTGCATTACGTCTATCCAACGTTTACGGACGATTCCTGAAAAGGAAATTGTACTCCTAGCACAAATAACACGTTCACGATGCTCTGGTTAGCCTTAAACTAGCGTGAACAACTTGTAAACAATTTATGAGGTAGCAAAGAAATTCCCAGAAACGAAGGTCCATAAGTCATAGATTGTTCGCGTCTTTTCGATTATTCCGTGTACCGTTAACGGAAAGTGATCCCACACAATATTAACTGTAATGCACTTGACGCACAGGACACTTACGTACCGCGCTATACCGTGTAAATAAATAATTAAACGTTATTACTTGAAAATAATGGACACACGTATACCCGCACCACACCACCTACAGTATAAACATGGCGTCCCCTGACGGCTCACTATAACCACGAAGACTGACGGATCAAGGACCGCAGTCGATTAGACCGTAAACCTCTCAATGATGCAACTTCCATCTCGCGTCGAAACATAACAACTAACATAGTGCACGTTGCACTTTTCACGTACACGTACATTCAAGTGAATTTATTAACTCGTTATATATTATAATTACACAATACGATTTGCATTTTGTCCTCTTGAATTTTCACTAATTGTATACACTAAGTTATACATGTTGTAACAAAATATATTTGAAACTACACGTGTTATTACAAGTACAACAAATGCACGATAGAGGTAGCGCCAGTTCGCGTGAAATTGACGTTGAGTGTCTTACAAATATGTACCTCATGATTTGTATCTCGGCATGCTTTTATTGCTGCGCGTTATATTCGTTACTTATACGGAAAGTGATATCGCGTACTTTCTTTGTATACCAATCTTTTTAAAAAGATATTTTATTTCGTTTAAACTGGCAGATAAAACTCGAAGGTATTCAAATACAAGACTCATAGAAGCGAGAAAATGATGTACGCATTTGTCCATTGATAAAGCTATGCAAATCGCAGTAAACACGAAGGTAATTTTTTGATTGCAAAGTCAGCATACATAGTAAAGTAATTAGTCGTATCTATAGGCCTTTTATTACAGCGTTTTATATTTTATTTAAGTTTATTCTGTCAAATGTAAATTCTACTTTTGCAATAACTATTACGTTTTAGTAACGTAACGTACAACGAACGTGTCTCAGATTCAGATTCTTAAAGGTAACGATATACATATGAACGTTCATATGATGTACGCGTTACATAATATGTAGACGAGGAAACAGGTTGAATGTAAAAATGACGGTATCCTAATAAATTGACACACATAGGTTATCGTATAAGGAAACGAGTCGCCTGGCAACAGATTTTGGTTTCTATATGCCCGTACGGTGGCGACATCAGTGGTAAAAGATAGAATCACACAGAGGAGCAGAAGTTAAAATCGATAATTGCCCGAATGTTTTCGATCGATGATTTTTAATTATATTGTTGGGGCAACGTGAATAAATGTATATTTCCGATTACAGAAATATGAGAAGGGCACGTTCTCATTTCTATATTCTTCCTACCAGCGTCAGATAGTTTCATAAATATGCAAAAAGAATTCAGACTCTTCTGAACAGTAACAATGGGTTTACGATTACTATTATGCTTACAAAACAATATCCTGGGATCAAATATCGCGAAAATTTTGTTTTCGATTATCATTTGTTGACATTTTTCGTTTTCTTCGGATCCGTTATATTGTCATATTGGTTTCTACTTTATCAGCCTATTTTCTAAGATCTAAGGTGATATAGTTTGTAACGACTTTCATCGGCCAACTAATAATGAGGAAGTTACGGTGATGTAGTGCACATTTGGACAATGCTCCAACAGAATGGGCAGTCTTGAGTGCAGTCGATAGCAAGTTTGGTAATTAGTTGCGGTCGGGGTCCTGCTGGAAATGCCGCCAAGGATTTGTTAAATGTTTCCGCTTCAAATGCGATTGCGATCTATTTTGAAATGAGGATCGAATAATCGAGAAGCGACAGAGTCGAGGATCGAATACTCGAAACTCTGATAATATCTATTTCGAGGAAAATAATTTATAGCATCAAGTCATGCTGGGAAAATTGATAATTTTACAAGTTCAGTTGTTACGTGTATATATGTTGAATGACCAGTAATGGATTGGAGGAATCACTGAATATAACTATTTTTTATTTTTATCATACGGAACAGTTTATCGTGTTTTTGAATGATTCAGTATTTTTCAAAATCATTATTAGTATCTTTTACGTGTATAGATAGCTCTTTGTCATACTTTATTTATAACATGATACATGTATAGCTCCTTGTCTTTCCACTTGCAATCTATCACCATTTTGTTGTTGAATAAACTCTCTCGGGGCTGAAATAATATTTCTAAAATTGAATCCGTGCTTGAAAGGACAGAAATAACACGGCACTTTCAATTCGAACATTAAATACAGTCTCAATATACATTCAATTAAATTCCCATTTACATTTAAGAGAGCAATGTTATATTTCAAATGATGGGTCTATCCGTATTGACAAACGTAATAGTCAGCCTTGCATTAATTGCTCGACGACACTGCGATTCGGAATAATACAGAATCCGAATCCCTCTCCACCATTTCTTGAATCCTTCTTCAGGAAGTGGATTCAAATTGAACGCGTTCCAACGAAAACATTGCATCAGCTAACCTGAAACTCGTGTTAAGTTAAACTCCATCGAACCGACAAGGTTTACCAAGTTTCTGCGACTGTCTATTGACAGTTTCGCCCGGCTGTTTCATTGATTCGAAGGTAGTTCTCGAATTAACTCTGTGTTGATTCAACGTCGTTCTGTCACGCAAGAATTACACGTTCTACTGGTGGCGCGAAAACGTTTTGATGTGGCATTAACCGAATCCCGCATTCATTACACGGAATTGATCGTTAAAACGAGCCACCGTATAACGTCGTTCAGCAGTAACAAAACAGAATATGAAGATTCGAGTCATATTTCCGCAACGAAGTGGGTTTACCAACATTCTGAGTTCCATAGTTACGACTATTGTTTCACGGATGGTACGTCCGAAATACGAGGCGGGGCGTTTTCTGTTTTTATGACGGATATCTGAATAACTTCAGGTACCGAATGCACCCGTTCTACTCTGAAACAAAGCGATAAAGTTAACCCCGTCGACTCGGGCCACGCGGAACTTTCCCCGATCCCAAACTCGAAGCTGCAGATTTTTAATCTTTTAATTATAGCTCACGGAATTAGTAATTTATTGCGAAAGTAGCGTAGGTTTACTTTTACGAGTTACGTTGGAATTTTCTGTGGAGAAGTTTCCAAAGTATTCATTTCTAAGCTAATTGACTCGTTGCGAGTTATAGCATATCGTAAATTTATGGCAGCGAAAGGAGCACCAGGTCGATGGTTGTCTCTTGATCATAATGGGACGCCAGGCTAGGGTCTGCGAGACACCCAAGCCAGCCCCCAATGGCGGTAAACTTGTACGGTAGCTGACAAACGGGAAAACCCACGATATTGTCACAGCTAAGAATTTATTATGTTTAGATAACTGGCATCTTCGTACCTCTGTCTCGGAATTTTTATAGATGGCAACCAGGAAGTCTAGTTCAATTAACAGTGATTTCTGAAACAGTGAATTACCAATCTCGAGGCAATTTTCATGAATTTTTTCAGTCAAAGTACTTGACATAAATCTTTGACATTTGACAGATCTCTTGACACAAAATACAAGAGTATTCCAATGATTATCAAATTTTAATAAAAATAATAAATTATTGTGCATTCTCAATTGTGCACCAAAGTTTTAAAATCATCAGCAATTAACCACGCATGCTTTTATTGGTCAGGTGACGAATTAAAAAATTGACAAATGGACTTTTCGAGCAACTTTGCTGACTACTGTTTCGCTAGGTATTGTCAGGTAGCTTCGTTATATTCATTGTTTCCGCACGTTTTTTTTTTTGGGGGGGGGGGGGCGTGTCCCGTTGTCCTAGCTACCACTTTGCTTTCGTCAAATAGTGCTTTGTGTCCCGCAGTACTGTGCTCTGTTCTCTTACGGCTAATTGTATACAATTGTATGCAATTGTGAGAACTCGGCTTACACTCGGAAACCTCAAACAGTGTACCATAGGAGCAATGTTCGAGTTGATTCACTGAATATCCTACATGTAACCCCACACGCCAACTTAATTTTCTGTGAGTAGTTCGGAAGAGTCGGGCGATTCAAGTTAACTGTACACGCGATAGAACTAACTTCTTATTTGTGTACGGAGGTGCTGGCTGAGCGTCTGATGGAGTCAGAAGCGCGTAGGACTTGTGTGTCCAACGTGGATCTCCACGAGATGTGTACTTGAATTTCCGATGTTGACTCTAGGAAAGTTGATGCATGACTTGGTGTTTGCGTTTCTCTGCACGATAGAGCGTACTCTTCACACTGGTACAGATTTACCCTCGATGGTAATTTCTCTAGTTGCGAATGTGGGTCTTCCATGGCTGTTTGGGAGCTTTACGAGGGTGGTCTGAAAAGTTCTTGACCTCGATCATAGATGTTAACGTTATAGTCAAGATTTTCTTTTCGTTAAGCGTTAGTTTCATTGAATAAATAAGTTTATTCTTTTTCCACGTTTGTCTTCTCCAAGAATCGTCACATCCAATCAATCATCATTTGGATGATTTAAAATTTTCTAGATGTTCATCAACTCTTGTATGCGCTTGCGTGCAACTTAACCAGAAAACTATATACCAAGTTGGATCTTCCAAGTTCTGATACTCATGCGCGGTACCGTCTTCACGACTCGCTGCTTTTACGAGTTCGCTTTATCTTTCGCGTCGACAATGCATTCTCAATTCTGCATAATGGCAGTTCAAAGCAGTATCGCTGCACGCGTACCATTCCAGTATCACCCGCATGCGACACTGAAATTTCAAGATATTGCCATTACATCTACCTGGCGGCGTTCGCTTCGAAATCAGATCAATTCCCAGGCCCAGCTTCCTGATATTCGATGCTCGATAAAATACGCATGATTCGTGTTCGTGACACTTGCCGATATGTTTTATAGTTATAATAAAATATTATATACCTGTAATATGAATACTTAACACTAGAGTTAATTCGTGTACTTTGGACTTTTTTTGTGAAATTACTGAATTATTGACAACGTTTTCGCTGCAATTTACGGTGAAAATGATTGAAACAGAGAACTAGCTACATATCGATCAATTGATTTGCCCCTACACTCTTTATTTTCAAAGATATGTTAATACGCATAAGGTACATAAGCGTCGATAGTTTAAATATTAAAAGTTATACACTTATCGTCCGATTTACATGTTTGTTCGCGTTTAATGTCAGTGTCAATAACGGAATAGTATTTGAAAATTACTGTACGAGTGGGTGGAGTTTAAAG